GTTGTGAAATGAATACAATTTAGACATGTAGACAGAAATACCTTATATATATAGTATGTGCATATGTTAAAAAAAGACATCAACATTCAGATCAATGCAATGGTCAGTCTTGACCCTAGAAGAACAATAATGTAACAGATCTTAGAGTTAGAGCAGGAAGGGATCTTAGAGGCCATTGAGCCCAACCGTCTCATTTTACAGATGAGGAAACCGAGACCTAGGGAGGTTAAGTGACTTGCTTAGGATTACACAGCTGGAAAGTGTCTGAGGCAGGATTTGAACATGGTCTTCCAGACTCCAAGTCTACTATGCTACCTATGCTTCTTTCATATGATTCACTTTTTGGAAGTTTCATGGGGAGCCCAATGCAGGAACCTAGCTGCTGCATTCACTCTAGTATGAGATAATACCTATTGAGGAAGGTTAGTTTTAGTCCTTGCTCCTACTCTTTACTTTTTCCCAGCCCCAGGATTCCTGATGTGAGGTGAGGGAGGTGGTATTAACTATCATCATTGGGAAGGATGTTATGAATAGCTCCAGAAAATTAATATTCCTAAATTCTATTTTAGTCCTCATAAATGTATTCTTGTACTTATTTTCTGGGCTTGGCTGACCCCAGAAGATATCAGAATAAGTCGTGTGCTTAGTTCTACTGAAAAAATTATCCCAACCTTTGAGATGTTCCCACAAACTATGCATTCTTTCAAGGGCCTTCCAAAATATTTCAGAGCCTCATCTGGATTTATTAGAATCTCTATCAACAGGCACAGAATATTGGGCAAGACTCCCAGCCACTAGAGTTTGGTCAGAACTAAATGGATCTCATGAACGATGTAAGCCAACTGTTTGCCTTAGATCTGGTCAACATTATTTTTTCCGGTATATCCATCACGGGGATGCCTCATGAAAACAGAACAATACCAAAACTTAATGAGAATTGTAGAGGTGCCAAAATTCATAATTAATATAGGTTTCTCCCCTTGGAGGAATGATAGAAAAGGGGAAAAGTCAAGACAGTAAAATGGAGACATATATATATATGTATATATATATATATATATCAAAAGAAGGTGCTGAAAGTACATGTATCTGTGCACATAAAGTGAAACATATAGTCTTCTAATGATAAATTCTATCCACCCATTGAAACCAGTGGGTAGAATTTCATCTGTTTTTCAAGGCCAACACCAAAAGAAAAGATGTTAAGGTTAACAATAGACTATACTGATGTGTGTGTATTTTAAAAAACAAGTTACTTAAAATGTAATTTAAGCTAATTAAGCTTAAAATCTTCAATGGGTCTGAACTTGAAAACAATGACAAAATTTTAACTTTAAACTAAAGTGTTATATTTTCATATCAAATAGTATAATAGCCATATGTTTTATATACTGCCCAAGGTTCCTGGGAAATTTGTAGAGAAAAAAATATGATAACACTCTTAACTGATAATAATTGCATTTAATGGAATGGAGGATAGAGGAAAGAAATTCAAAGAAGAAATCATTGCATTGAAGACAGTCAATTTTAAAACAGCTACAAATTCTTTAAAAAAAATTCGGGGTTAAATGTCAAGTTTTTGATTCCTGTTTATTATTTTTGTATTGGTTGGTTTTTATAATTAACTAAGACCTTCTGCGTTGTTGAGATTTTATTTATAAAGTTTTACAGTAGATCAACTGGTTTGTTGTTTTTTAGCAATATGATTCCCAAAGTAATATTAGTTTTTCAGTGATCAATGATATCTTTATAATATATATATTCACATATATATGTATGTCTATATGGAGAGCATCAAATTCTCTTTCACTATCATGTTCATAGAACATTTTATACCATTAATTTCAACCACGCTTTAGACACTCAATTCCATGTATTATTATTTTTTTAAATTAAAAGTACGTTCTAACTGAGGTGGATTAAACTATGTGATGGATGTATTGTGGTGGTTGTGGTTATTATTTGCTAGAAGTGATTGAAATAAGTTGGCTTGATTGACTTATAACACAAGTATTATAAAGATTGCTTTATTTCTCTTTAATTGGTGAAACGGACAACACATAAATGAACATGGCTTCTTTTCTGCTTTTGTTGATAGAATATCACCTGTATGACAAATTGAGTATATTGCACTTGGATGTGGATCATGAACAGGTAAAATTTTATCATCTCACAGCAGGCATCTGCTTTCAAATAATCTTCTTTGGAACAGAGGTGGACTAAAGAGGGAATTATACATCTCCAAAGAGGCATAATTAACATATCAGTCAACAACATTGTAAAATTTAGCGGGGTTTTATTTGTTCATCCACAGGATGGTTTATCCATAAATATATATATATATAATCTATTTATATTATATACCATCTTTTTTTGGGGGGGAGGGGGAAGGTATGATAGAAATCAAAGAATGAAGACACTGAATACCAAAAAAGAATCCAAATTTGATGAATAACTTCATTCAAGTCAGGATTGTACTTTCTTCTGGGATCTAAATTTAATGGTTATGACCTAATCCTTATATTTTCCCTTTATATATTTTGTATGTGTTCAAGAAAATTAGGTAAAATATATCAGCTGCCAGTAGTTATACATAGATCTGTATGTGTGCGTGCAGGTCTGTTTTACTTTTCCCCTACCTAGGAAATACACTGGCTTTGCTTCTCTGTGGATTATTTCTAAATAGCAGCTCAACTTTAAATAATACCATTTTAAAAGACTAAAATGCCAATACTTGCAAATACATTTGTATTTAATATAGTACAATAAGTATAGGAAGCAGCATCAGTATTGTACACTACCCAGGATTCAGCTCTTTCTTTATGTAGAAAATGCTTTGAACACTCTGGGGATAGAATATTCATTTATAGAAGAATATGTAAGGGATTTTTTTTGCATTATTTTAAAGGATATACATTCGTCTTGGTTTTTGCTTCCAAATATTGTTTAAGGCTGTTTGGTAAAATATATACCAGGTATGAGGCTCAATTTACAGAGTTTTGGCCTTACAGGAAATCTTTAACTACTCAGCTTTATAAATTCAAACTTTGAAGCTAAACATGCTTTAATATCAACTGTGCTCCAAATGGACCTCATGCTAGGTGGAACATATTTGGAACAAAAAGAAAAAAAGCCCAAAAGAACAAAGGAAAACTTCATTGTTAACCAATGTCCAAATTTTTATAAGCTATGCAACCTTCTCTACTTAATGCTTGTAATAATGTGGCAGGCTGCAGAGTGAGCTGAGTACTTATTTAAAGTGCTAATCAAGGTGGAAAAAAAAAACCTCACAATAACAAAGTGCTAGAGTATAATTGAGAAGCTGTTCTGCGTATGGCTAAGTACATGGTTTTTATTAAAGCAGGTAAACAGAAAACATGGTAGTTCAAAATATCTTTTGTATGTTGCCACCCTGCTTTAACATGGAGTAGTCATCCAAAGTCAGAGGAAACTAGGATCTATTAGATCCACCTTATTGGGTCTTCCTTTGGAGAGGGTTTATGAATTAGGACATTCACTTTTCATTGGGAAGCTGGAATAAATACTCCTGTATTTCAACTTAATTCATGTGGAGATTGGGCTTCATTAGATATATTTTATTGGATCTTCCTTTGGAGAGAGAAGTCTATAAGTTAGAGTCCTCATTTCCAGTGGGAAGCTTGAATAAAGAATACTGTACCTAAACTTAATTCAGGATTGAAAGCTACTCGACTAAACTGTTTCCTGTTTTTGCTCATGTTAGTCAGTGTCATGAAAACATGCTAATGCTTCTTAAATTCCAGAGCTGGAAATCCCTTAATTCTTGAATCAATTTCTTTATGTCTTTATAAGCAAGGTACTTGCCTTAGCTGATACTGCATAGGAAAAAGAGTTCTGAAAAAAAAAATCAAATGTAAGCTACATTTCACCTTTACCATTTAAACTGAGATATACTTACCACTCACATTCAGACTTCTTAAACTGGTTACAACATCACAACTTGGCATTTTAAACAAGCAAACTTTTTTTTTTCAAGGATACCTTGGAAATTTAACTGATATAGCAGTTTGAGAATACGACCTATCACATATAGTATAATTGGTGAAATTAGAAGTAAAATATGAATGATAAAAACAAACCCATGAAAAGAACTGGAATGACAAGAACTATTTTCTAGGAATAAGTATAACTTTGCTCTTATACTTTGCTATGGAAGAGATGCTTTAAGGCTACCACTTTCTTTTCATCCTTTGTCAATCTTCTTGCATTAAAATTAAGCTTAGCTTTGGGAAAATGGTGATGTGGTTCCTGGAAAAAAAATCTTACCAGATATTTTTAATGGATTCAGAAGGGTAGGCTCCTGGGCTTTTGGAGAACTACCTGTCTACGTGCAGGGAGTAATGACTAGATAGATCCCTTTTCATTGCCAAAAACTTGACATGACGTGAAAGGCTTAATAATGTTTTCCCATAGTAACAGAGATGAAGAGAATGGCAGCGCACATGGGCAAATCATTTAGCTGGATACAAAGAAAAGAAAACTGAAGGTGAGAGACATGGGGTCTTTCTGTCATGCACTTGCCAATGTAGCACCTTCTACTTGGTTAGCTAATGCCTCTAGTGAATGGTGAGATGCACCCATTTTATAATTTGTTATTCTTATCCCTAATTGTCACACAATTTATAAAAATATAAATAACAAAAAAAGGTAAGCTGGGTTCCATCTCAAGAGGTGTTTCTTGTTGTCCTCTGAGAACATATTGGATAAGTCAGGTCTCACCAAGCCCTATCCATTGTAGCTGATTGTAAGTCAGACAATAAATACAAAAAGAAGTCATTCTTGCAATGAGCTCGGCAAACTTTGAAAAAATCAAAACATTCCACTGTGCTTATGGCACGAAGAACACAACAGCAAGGGCATATTCAGTGGAGAAAATGAGACAGAAATTACCAGGTTAAGTGACAAACTGTACAAGCTTTTTTTGTTTGTTTAAAAAAAGGAAATGTTGCAGCATTCTGTCTTTAAAGCCTGGTTTGGGCCTCAGGGATGTAGATCTCAATGCTGTCTGCTCGTTCAGTAGCCGAATTCTGCCTAAAGGAGGCTGCTCTCTTGGCGGCCATGAGCCGTCTTCTAGCTTCTTGGCGTTGTCTGTCAGGTAGGTCTAGAGACTTTTCTCTTGTGATAGGAAATTTCCCTTTTGGAGGCTTCTTTGGTACTGGAGGGGGAACCTTTCTTTCTTCCTAAAACATTGATTAAAAGATCAAAATTGAGTTAGTGAGCGGGAGAATGCCATATGCATGTTAACATTCAATTTTTTTCAAAGATCCATCTTGGAATCAGAGTTTTGCTAAGGTTTGTTACACAGAAAATTCCTTTCCAGCATATACTCTGGTGCTAATTTAAATATATATATATATATATATATATATATATATATATATATTAAATGAACAGAAATTATATTTTCTTTCTCCTCCTTGGGAAAAAATAATAAGAAAAACAAAACTCTTATAATAAATATACAGAATTAAGTAAAACAAATCCCCACATTGGCTAGGTTCAAAAAAATGTTTGTCACATTTTGTACCCCAAGTCCATAAACTTTATTTTAGGAAGTGAAGTTGACTATTTTTTTTTTAAAAGCAAGGAAACTCAACCAACCACAGGGGGATGGCTAGAGATCTGAGAAATGGGACCTGATATGTCCTAGGATCATAGGACTAAAATTTTATTGCTGGAGGGGTTTTTTCGAGCCATCAAGCCTTAGGGACAGAAGTAGGTTTTAAACTGCCTTGGTAGCTGCTTATACCACAAATTCACCTAAAGGTATCAAAATATTAGTAGCTATTAGTTTGGTATTATATTAATAGATACTATGATTTCAAAATTAATCTGATGTTAGATTGATATATACTATCATTTAGATTAATAGATACCATTAAACAATCAGTAAACATTTATTAAGTGCCTACTGTGTGTTGGACACTGTGCTAAGCACTGGGGATGTAAAAAAAGGCAAAAGACAGTCTCTGTCCTCCAGGAGCTTACATGCATCTGCCAGGGCAGGTTTAGGTCATTTCTACCCATGGATAGAATGGCCTCTAAGGTCCCTACAAGCTCTAAATCTATGCTGCAATGACCCAGGACAAACCAGGTCCAATGGTACCATTTCACTGGGTATCCCCCTGTAGTTTGCTGACCTGTCCCACTATAAAAAGTCTGATTCAGTCAGAAGTTCATCACCCCATGGCATCCTGGTAGATTTCATCAGATGCTGTAAGGGTCAGAAATTGTTAGGACATCTTTGCCATTTGCTCATGGTATTGACAGGAGGTTCAAACATAATAAGAAAGGCTATAGACTAGCATAATTTGCTTATAATATCTTCATCTTTTTGGATTTCTCAAGTTCAATTCCTGTATTAAACACAAAGTTATTTCTAAAATGTGGGTGATACTAACTTTTAAAGTAGACATTTCATTTAATTCAACAAATGTATTTTAAGTACCACTTATGTGTTAGGTACTAGCCCAAGCACTGGGCTAGGACACAAAGATAAAACAAACCAGTCTGTGCCCCCAGAGAGCTTACATTCTACAGGGGAATGAAGTAGGCCATTTTCAGGTAAAGTAGGGGTAGAGTCTGACCTATGGTTGCCTTCTACATTTATGGCAACTGCAGGCTTCAGATTTTAGTTCTGGGAAGTTACTCTTCAGAGCAAGGAACCTTCAAAATGTTCATCTCCCAGGATGTACAACTTGGTTTATCTGTTTTCATTTCAAGGGGAATCTTAACATGTATCATTAGGTAGAGGACTCTTAAAAACTTGGCTTTCATTATCCAGGAAAGGTGAAAATTAGAAACATTATTTTGACCAGTTTAACAGATTCTATATTTATTTTAAATGAGTTTTTCTTTTAATTGTTAATTGTCTTTATTGCCAGCTTCTCTTCAAATCCAAAGTGTTGATTAATGATTGTTGTTGAGTTATTTTAGTTGTGTCCAACTCTTAGTGACTCCATTTGGGATTTTCTCGGCAGAGATACTGGAGCGGTTTGCCATTTCCTTCTCCAGCTCATTTTACATCTGAGGAAACTGAGGCAAACTGGGTTGAGTGACTTGTTTAGGGTCACATAGCTAATATGTGTCAGAGGCCAGATTTGAATTCAGGAAAATGAGTCTTCCTGACTCCAGGCCCAACACTTTATACACTGTGCCACGTACCTGCCATTACAAAAAAAACATTTCTAAGCTAGCTATACAAACTATGTATTCCAGTGAACTTTAAGAAATGTACATATGCAGAGTGTCTCAAAAATCTTTATACAGGTTTAATGCCTTAAATACATTTTGCTATGGTTTTAATACCTTAGTTTCAATACCTTAAAATTTAACTAAGTCTTTTGGGATGCCCTGTATATACTCTTAGTACATTCATCTATTTTCCCCTAGACCTATGATTTCATTGGCTTGGAGAGCTCTCGTTATAGAAAACTCCTTCTCTTGATCTTTCATATAATAACATTGGGAATTCATTTATGACTTACAATTTTAGAGAATTGCTTGGGACACTGAAAAGTTAAGTGACTTTCCCAAAGTCATATAGCTAATATGTGTCAGAGGCAGAATTTGAAGCCAAGGCTATCCCTAACTCCAAGGCTATCCCTATATCCATGGTTATATACTGCCTCTATTCATCTCTGTCATATCTTAGATAGTAGACCTAGATATGTGAGGGGACACTAAAGCTAGTCCCCTCATTTTAAAATTGGGGAAGCTAAGCCCTAGGGAAGTTAAGTGAAGTTATATCACATAGGTTTTAAATGCCAAGATAAGAAATTTGAACTGGAAAGTTCAAAAGTCTAAAGCTAATGTTCTTTCCATTATATACACTGCCTTTGAGTAAAAACTAAAATCCTAAAGGATGAGTAATATGTTTATTAATTTGCTTTGTGTATCACCTAGCACATGACCACACTCACATATATAATGAATTATCTTAATGCTCATTATGATTATGATTTGTATCTGGGGGTCTTCATCTTAAGCATCTCAGTGGTACTTATTAATTTTTCAGCCATGTGTAAGTAATGAGAGCTAGCATTTATACAGAACTTTAAGGTTTGTATAGCATATATTCTTATTTGATCCTCACAACAAACCTGGAAGGTAAGTACAGGGGAGGAAACTGAGGCAAAGAGAAATTAAGTGATTTACACTTTTGCAAAGCTAGTGTCTGAGGCAGAATTCTAACTCAGAGGCAGGATTCAAAATTGTCTTGCTGGACACTATACTTCCCACCATATTTCTCTATATGACCATATTTCTTCTTGGTATTATAGTTATCATTCTCTACTAAATTAGTCTTCTAATGCCTTCTTGTGGCTAAGCCAGCAAAGTATGAGCTCTGCCAGTTGCACTAAGTACACTCCAAGTCTGTTCCTGAGAAAAGATGATCATCTGGGGACCAACCTAGCTAAATTTGGAAAGACTCATCACCAAAGTTGTCCAGTAAGTGTGTTGTTGTTGTTTTTTGGCACAGCAACTCATGACAATTACCTCTTCAGTTGTGGAAGGGTCACAAACTGTGTTGGTAGAGTGAATATCTCTTGAAGGAAGCATTGAAATATGTGAATCATCATCTACTGAAATTATGGCCTTCTGTTTCTCAATCATTTTATCTTAACATATAATGATTTCCTGGAAAAATCAATCTATAATTACACAGATCTTCTCAGAAATGTTTTAGAAAATTAGTAAAGTTATTGCTAATTTGGATCAAGATATTAACTCTACAGTAAATAATACCTTAAGGGAAGAAATTAAATCACATGTGTAAATTCTAATTGAATTCACTATTATAAAATGCAATAGAATACATGGTAAAATAGGCTGCATGTACATAAAGCAGACATGACCAAACTATATTGCCTTACCTTTTACCTCCATATCTACCCACCCCACTTTAGAATGAAGTAGAACGTTTGAGACAAAGAGCAGTGTCAATCTGAATTGGATGTGGATTTTCAACAACTAATTGGGTTTGATTGATTAGTTGTTGAAAATCCACATCCAGTAAATAAGAGATGACTTCAATTCCTACTTCTGTTTCCGTAACAAAAGAAAAGTTTGTGCTGGATTGCTAATCAAAGGCGGGAAACACTTCATAATTTGGAATTTGAAATGGATCATTTCTGCAATTGGATTAAACACTAGGGGGCTGTTGAACAAGGGTTTACATGGAAACCATACAGAGTTGGGGGTAATTACCTTTCTTTCAGGGGATTCTATTAGTTTCCATTCATTGAGCTTCAGCTGGTGGAGTTCATCAAACTTCATGCTGACATCTTCAATTGAGAGCTGCAATAAGTCCCAAAATCCTGCCAGGTCTTGGGAAGTAGGCCTTGGCATAGCACTAGGATCCTAACATGAAGAGAAGAGAAAACAACAAACTCAAACTGCAAAATTCTTCTTTGCTTGCTGGGTTAAGGATACGGGTGGGGGGGAAGTTTGCTTCTTTCCAAGGTATCTTTGTTAAGCCCAATTTTTCATGTTTTAAGCAAAAACTCCAATCTCTGGATGACTTAATTATCTATAGGGAATCCTTCTATAACTTGAACCCTGCTCTGGTTCTTCTTCATAACATCAGTGAACATGTTTGGTTAAGTATCTATATCTCCCTCTTATGCCTCATTGGATATTAATGATCAGAAGATTGAACAAAATTCTCTCATTTCTTGTAGCTTTTATCAAATCTTGAATAATTTTGATGTTTGTACAGTAGATGCTTTTTTGGAAGACATCCTTTAAGGAGACATTTTACTCTACCAAAGAATTAAAAAAAAAAGTCAACAAACCGTAAGGACAGCGGGATTTTATTCTCTATATTTTTTAGCCAATTGTCATAGCAACAATATATTCTACTATGGAATGTCAGAAAGCCTGCCCATTCCTATCATAACAGCTCATTTAGAATATATTTAGTGTATATGTAGATTATTATCATAAAAAGAAAACTTTGTATACATGGGAAAGTAGGTATATAGGTTGATTGTTGATGCCTTTTGTTTTTTTTTTTAAGAATGGGTATAAATGAGGCTGGAGATTCTTTTCAATATCTTTGGTATCTTGTCCTTCTGGAGATAATTTGTGAATTGAATCATCACAATTTTTTCACTTGCGTGATGTATCTCCTATACTTAATTGAATCCAACTATTTTTTTTTTGTTCTCTTTGGTGTCATGTCTACCTTTTCTATAAGCACTTCTAGGACTATGAGGTTGGAGTCCAAGTTCAGAGGTTTCTTGATGATGAAAACATTTTATTATAAAAGTATTTGATATTTTCTTATTGTTTTTTGTTGTCTGTCTTCTATTTTCATTCTTAAATGTTCTCAGGATGTCTTTACTTAGTTAAGATGCCTCAGCAAACTTTCTTGAATCTGAATTTACCATCCATTGCTTTTCACTATTTTATGAAGTAATCCTGTTCATAATATTCCATCATCTTCATAAATGTTTGCATTTAAGTTTATTATTTTAAATTGTTGATACCTTTGGCTGCCATATCTCCCTGCTTGGCAAGTAATTCAAATGTTTGCTTACTAAGACACTTTTTTGGCTCTGTCTCCTTGCTGTGGCAATCAATTAACATTTGTTAGACCTTAACGTGAAATTTTTGTAGTGTATATCTATATTCTATCTTCTGCCAATAACCCATTTTTCCATAATAAATAACTGGTTTAGATAGGTCTAGATGGAGTTGTTTTAGTTGTATACCGTAGCCTTCTCTCATTTTTATTCTTCTATCTTTGCACTAATTTTAACATTTGCTCAAATAGTTTAATGCCATGGATACCTGACTCCTACGTAAGTAACAAACCATTTCATGTCTGTTTATATAATAAATATAATTTTTTAAAATGTGATTTGGTGGCTTACTGTATCCAGTGCCTTTCATTCTTTTTAGAGGTATTTCTGATAAATAATTATGTAATTTACTGGTTAAGTCCTTGCCCTCTCTTATTCCTTATTCCTGATTTGTGTTTTCCTACAATTTTCTTGTTTCACTCCCTTATTTCAACCTTTGCAGTAATATCACCAAGTACCAAAGTATAGATTGAATTAATTTGAAGGGTCTTATAGACTTAGTTATAGAATTCCTTTACTTCTTTATATCAGTGCACAAACTGCAATAATGCCCATGGTGTTCTTTTTACAAATACATATCATGATTCATTTGGTTGCCTGAATTGTGCTGTTTTAACTAAAGTAAAATATGTGTTTGCTATTCATCTGAAATTTCTTAGTATGCACTATTCAGACCAATTCTGAACCATTTATTGAGGTTGTACTCAGCATTGCTAAGAAGAGGGGAAGAGGTTAAAGATTCTTCATGGAGTTTACAACATAATTGCATCATATACAGCTGAATTATAAATTCTGACAACTAAGAAGCTCATAGGATAAGACCTATTGCTATTTTTTTTTTGTGTGTGTGAGATTATAACTTCCTGGACAGATACTCTCATTTCTCATGTAAAATGAGTCTGAAAATAATAATTTTCCCGTACTTTCTAGCTTGTTCTGCTTACTTTGAGCCACTAGAGGGCAACCTTTTTCTACTAAATTCTGCTAAACAGGTCTGGCATTGTAGAGTGCTAGAAGGGTAATTCCAACTTGAACTCAACTGAGACATCTGAATTTTATAAACCTTACCAGAATTTGTTCTTAAGCTTTTTTCTTTTTTTGTATCTAGCTTGGAATCCGCCTCTGCTTATAAAGAACACAAAACAAAGGAAAACCAAACACAAAACTAAACTTCACACACTAGTAATTAGAACCATTCCTTATCCACTGAAACACCAAGAAACAAGACCTGTTTCAGCTATAATAATAGCTAACGTTTATATAATGCTAGAAGGCTTACAAAGCACACACTTTGTTTCTGTTTCTCTCTCTCTCTGTTTCTTTATATAGGTGAAATAGGTATTCTTATTATCCCCATTTTACGTATAAGAAAACTGAAGTTCATAGAGGTTAGTGTTAGGACTGATTTTGCTAGTCACTCATCTGGTAAGTGCCAGAGGCACCATTTGAACTTAGACTTTCCAGTCTCCAAGTCCAGTTACTCCATCCACAGAGTTGCTAGTCATAACACAAAGGGCTCAGAGTAACCATAAGGAAAAAAATGCCTGACACTTAGGAAACTGTGAAATTTGGGCATTGTGTTTCTAAGTCAGGATCTGGAATTCAGTTCAATTCAACAAACATTTATAAAGCATCTACTCTGAATACAGCACTGGTACTATGTTCTATTTACAACTAAGCTCAATTTTTTTCTTACTTGATTGATTTTGTATGATTTCAGCTAGAAAAATAGAGTAGATAAAAATCTCTTCTCTAGCCTTCAGGATTATTTTATTTATAGAACCTCAGAGACCTCATTTAGTTCAGTCTCTACTCGATTCAGGAATGCCTGAGAATAGCCTTAACAGGTTATCCTGTAACCTTTGCTGGAGCACTTCTAGTAATGGGGAAATTCTCTGTCTTTCATGGAAACAGATCTAGATCAGAAAGGAAACTTCTGTTGTTACTATTCAGTTGTGTCTGACTCTTCCTGACCCCGTGGATCACACTGTCTGTGAGGCTGGAGTGGTTTTCCATTTTCTTTTCCAGTGGATTAAGGCAAACAGAAGTGAAATAGGTCCAGGGTCACACAGCTGTTAATGTCTGAGGTTGGATTTGAACTCAGATCTTCTTGACTCCAGGCCCAGCACACTATCCACTAAATCACCTATCTGAAAAGGACCTTAGTCTAGTTCACTCCTCTTATTTTACAGGTAAGGAAATCGAAACCAAGATAGGTTAAATGACTTGTGTACAGTAATGTAGATTGTGAGTAGCCAAGCCAGGACTGGAACCCAAATCAAGGCAAATTCATTCCATTTTTGTCATATGGAACCAAAATATGTTTCCCTATGATTCCCACTGCTGTCTTAGTTCTACCCTCTAGGGCCACACAGAATAAATTTATTCCTTTTTCCAAGCCTAGACTTGGAATATGTAATTAAAACAGTTATTGTTTTTCAGTTGTGTCTGACTCTTTGTGACCCCATTTTTTTTTTTGGCAGAGATCCTAGAGTGGTTTGCCATTTCCTTTTCCAACTCATTTTACAGATGAGGAAATTGAGGCAAATTGGGTTGAGTGATTTGAACTCACCAAGATAAGTCTTCTTGACTCTAGACCTAGCACTCTATCCACTGTGCCACCTAGCTGCTCCAATTAAAATAGTACCTTAGTGGTAAATATGAAGTATATAAAAAGAGTATGGTCATATTTTTTCCTTCAAGAAATATTTGGTGATATAGTGACTCATTTTCTGAACAAGATGGTTTCAAAAGATTAATCATTTGGATTTGTATTAGAACTGAGACTTTGGCCTGTATAAGGATGGCATTCATGGTCTGACTTATTTTTTAAAATTTTATTTTAGTGTTCACGTGTCCTGTGTATCTGTGTCATCACTACCTGACTGAAGTTCCCACAAGACAGGGTCCTTTTTATATGGTGTATCATGCTAGCACTTTAAGAAATGCCTTTTTAAGTGGAAGAATATTTATCCCAAGTCATTTCCTTCTCTTATCACAAAGTACCAATATTATTATCCTGGCTAAACTGCATTCTTTCTAAAATTTTACATCTTGGCTTGCAAATTAGATATGGATATGTGTTATTGTGTTAAGTAAGTTGTTCATGGGTGTCAAAGGTGTATTAAGTTATCATCCTCTGGGGGCTTCTTTTCAGTATCAGATGTAATGACATTCAGCAAATCACTGTGGTTTGGTTCATAGCCTGTAGGGACAAATTTCTGTATGGTCACCTAAGAAGGATGTGGAATCCTTCCTCCTTCTTAAAGACCTAAGCTTAAGTACAATTGTCAGCAGTTATTGATGGAATTTTTTTCACCTCTGTCTACTCAACTTTTATATATATTAAGATATGTGTATTTTTAATTCCTTCCTTGGGCAGATATAGTATTTATGCCTACCTCTCCTAATCCCCCAGGAAAAAATAATGTTTCAGAAATTTCTGTGGTAAGCATGGAAAGAAGCTAGAAGTAGAATAAATAATCAAATATTTTAGAACTCTCAGTGGAAAAAAAATTAACACTAACAATGAAATGTAGTCTGACATTTGTAAAAGGCTTCAAAAGTGTTCTGATGCACAATTTCTGATTCAAATGCTTAGAGACTTGGCAATGGGGAACTGTAGTTTTAAAAGGTTCTATATTAAATATGTATCTATACTTCTAGGCTTTGATTTTGTGCTGGTAGAAGGGAGTGTCTTTTTTTTTCTTTACCATATTTTGTATAGATGAAAGGACAGTCTAATGTATGTAGAGACATAAAATCAAAGCTATAATAATTTAGACATAGCATGTAGGTAACTGTGAGGTATCATTAATAACAATATATATTTATAAGTAAATATATCAAGAAACAGAATTGAGAAAATACATTTATATAAAATTATACATTATTATGGAAACACCTTTCCATGTAATTATAAATACATTTATTGATAATATTGTGTTAAAATTTTGGATAGAAGAGAGGGATTATGGTATAATGGATATTGAAATGGCAATGGGGGAAAAGGTTCTAAAAGAATGACTAAAAAGTAAGAATGAAAATGAAGCATAAATGCCCAGCTTAAGCTTTCTGTGGCCAATTAAGGTTACCTAAATATTAACTTACCAAATTTTGCTGACAAAGCCAATAAAATTGCTGGAACTTCTGAGACATGAGAAGCTGAGCACTTCCAACTGCACTCCTGATTTTACCTAGAACTGAAGGAAGAGGCCATTATTTAACATGATTTTTAAAATGTTGCTGATCAAATAAAAAAAAAATAGAAGTACCCAAAGGGACCATGCCTTAAGACCCCTATAGATTTTCAGATTGTCAGAACTGGAAGGGGCCTCAAAGATACCTAAAGTAAAGAGATGAGCATGGCACAATGATAAACATCACTGGTCAGAGGACCAGGTTCCAATCTTGTTTTATGCTTATTATTTTGGGGAACTTGGACAAGTTAATTAATCTTTCTGGGCCTCAGTTGCCTTATCTGTAAACTAAGGGGGTTGGAATAGATGATTTCTAAGGTCCTTTTCACCTCTGGATACAATGAAACCCATTATAAAGATGAGGAAATTGAAGCTTATAAAGGTGAAGTGATTTGCTCAAGGTCACACAGCTAGTAAGAAACAGAGCCAGGATGCATAATATCACACTAATTCCTGATGGAATTTTTTTCTTTTTTATTCTTTAGGACTCCTTATAAAGTATAAAAAAATTATAAGAAAACTATTTTTAGAACTCTTAGCAAGGATTTAGTTTAGGAAAATAATAGGAACTTTACGAATTTTTCATTGCTCTTAGAAAGTAAAAGTTTTTAAGCTCTGGATTCAGATGGGACATAACATTACTCTAGGGAAAAGAAGAAAGTATAGGAAAGTACCTTAATAAAGAACTTAGTATTTCCTTCTTTCAGCTATTGTTACCCAATTCCATTAGAATACTACTACCTTATTTTTGTAAACTACTTTCAGGTTTTGATTTTTCTTTTTCTTTTTCTTTTGAAAGTATCTTCACAAAATGATCCTTGTTACAGTCTGGTAAGTTGTATAGAAGAGGTAGTATCATCCTGATTTTACACATAAAGAAACCAAGCCACATAGAAGTTATGTGACTTGCTCAGTGTAGTATAGTCAGTTAATTACAAAATGAGGAAAAAGGCTTGTCTCAACATTTCCAGCATGAAGCAGCGGATGGAATATTTGGCTTAGAGTCAGGAGGACTCTAAGAAGAACGTCTAGGTAGATGTTCATGTTCAAGTCCCTGTACCTCATTGAGTCTTGGGCAGGTAAGGTAGTGCACTGGGTAGAGCATTAGGTTTGGAGTCAGGAAGATCTGAGTTCAAATGTGGCCTCAGACACTTACTAGCTGTGTGACCTTGGGCAAGTCACTTAACTTCTTTTTGCCTCAGTTTCCTTAACTCTTAAATGGATAGCATGGCTAAAAATATAGCATCTACCTCCCTGGATTATTGGAATGCTCAAATGAGATAATATCTGTGAAAATGCTTAGCACAGGGTCTGGCATATCTAAGGTACTATGTAAACATTAATGATCATTGTTATCATTAATTTATAGATAGATTGTATCCTATATGAGTGGAGAGAGTTCTCAAACTGATGAAACCATGTTGTCTTGATATATTGACTCTTTCCACTGGACCACACATGACACCAACCTATATCTTTGAAATCCCCTCAATAATATCTCCAGCATCCCATTGCCACAAGAGGGTTACTGGACAATCTATGTGTTGTATTTACACATTATTTCTGTATTACATTTCCAGATTATGCTAAGGATGCCATTAGTTTAATGAAGAATGAAGATTTAGTTCAATGTCCAAACTGTTGTTATAGTATTGTTATAAGTATATATGTATTATATATGTATGCATATAGACACATAAATACTAACTAAAAGATATGTTTTAGCAATATTAGTATGAGAGATAAATCAAGGGTATAGACAGATGCCTGCAAGATAAATTAAAATTGGTTTTTCCCTTCTGGTTCCAGTGTGTCTGATGGTGTGGTCTCTAAGTACATGGAGGCTTAAAAAACTTTCCTTGAGAGAGCTTCTGAATTTTTTACTTAAACCATGCTTCTGGTCCTATAGAGGTTCCATTTTAGATAAGAAGCATTAGTCTGAAACTTTAGTGACTGTCAGAGCGTGCACTTTCAGATGCCATTAAGAAACCTTGGGAGTGGATGCTTCATCTCTGTGGTTGTGTCTGGGCAGAACATCTGGCTAGTTGTACAGCTGGTCTTGCTTCAACCTTGCCCCAAGGCTTGCAGTTCAATGGGGCTTTGCAGTCACCTTGGTGCTTTTGTAGCTTTGAGCATAAATGAGGAAAGAAGATATTCTCTTTTTTAAATTTGATCCTGGAGATAGTAGGGAGCCACTGAAGTGTACTGAGTAGGGAACACCATGGTCAGACCTGTGCTTGAGGAAGGTCTCTTTGGTAACTAGTAGAGGATGGATTGGAGTGAGGAGAGACTTGAGGTTGGAAAACTAATTACCAGTACCAGTGGGTACTGGGTTGTTTCTCCCTATGTGCTGCCCTTTAATTCTAATTATGCTTCTGCTATTTGCCACATATGTAACCTTGGGTAAATCATTAAATTTCTCAGTACCTCAGTTTCCTCACCTGCAAAGTGAAAGCGCTAGACTATACAACTTCTAATGTTCTTTCCAGTTCTTCCAGACTTATCCCTCCCTTTTGGGACTGAATGGATGCTAGGAAGAGATATTCCCTCAACCTTTGAGCATGGAGTACAGTGAGGTTAGCATTACTTCCAGGTCTGGTGGGATTCCCAGCTTCTGCTAAAACTATAGTGATTTCCTGGGTATGGCCTCTCAGATCACCTCCTCTGGCTCTGGGACAGATTGCACTCCATGCAGCTACCCTGACCTTTTCTACTGCACTGGGTTCTAGAACCCCAGGTCAAGAAAGTGATTACCTAGATGACCCCCAAGATTCCTTCCCTGGTCTATTGGCTACCTTGCACTGATTTTGCAGGCATCTCCTTCACCTTTTTCCTAGTGATCTCTATAGCACCAGATCCTTGGTCTACCCTCATCTTTGAAATATTTCTTTTCTGGTCCATTTGCCTAAAGCAGATGTATTAACTGGTTGTTAAGAATAATTCTGTTCTTCAATGTAATTCACCTTTGAACTTAGTGTCCTATTCTAGGATCTCATCCTGGTCTATTGAGTAGCCATGTGACCTCAGTGGCAAATACCATTGTTCTCAAGATCCTACAAACATGGTATTTACTCCTTGTCTTTTCCGTTTTCAAATACCTCTGCCCTCTTTCAGGCTACCCATTAAGTTCTTGTACCTTGTCTGAGGGATGATTTTAGCTTTCATCTCATTTGTAGAGCAAGGATGACATGCATCCTAAGGCCAATGAATGGTCAAACCCCTGGTAATCAGCTTTGCCCCCTTCCCCGGGTTTTCAGACTCTTAATGCTGGAATCACATAATAATATACCCTTAAGACTTGAAGGGATCTTAGCAGTCACCAGTCCAAAGCCTTAATTTTACTGAAGAGAAAACTGAGACTCTGAGAAGGGAAGTAACTTGTGTAAGGTCACAAAGAAAGTCAGTGGCAGAAATGGCACTAGACCCTATGTTTCCTAACTTCTCTCCTGTACCTTTTTCTACTCTAACATGATGTTGCTGTGATATGTGAGACTAGGAAGGGAGACATACCCAGAGCATGTATGGGTAGGAAGGGTTGTCATCCAATTCTGCTGTCTGTTCATTTTTGCCCTCCTCTTCTCATTCATTAATCGCATTGATTTGTAATAATTGCAATTAATTGCATTGATATTGCAAAAATTTTCAAAAATTTGCAATAATTGCATTGATTTGCAATAATTGCAAAATTAATTTCAGCAAATACACAGTCAAATTCTGCCTCACTTCTTCTGACCCTCCAACCCCATCAATCATTTTCTCTTTGTTTCTGTGTGACAACTTTACTCAGGTCAGATACCTGCCAAGGATGCATGTCATCCTTGCTGTACAAATAAGATAAAAACTGGAATCATCCCTCAGACAAGTCTTCCAAAATACTACCATCATACATTCATAAGACCAACATACCTTACTTGTGTAATTTAATAAGACAAAAAACGCTTAGATGATTTCCTCCAAGGAAAAAGAAGAAGCATATCCCTCTTAACTTTCAAATTTAAGTCTAGTGTAGGGCTTATCCAAGATAGCCTATGGTTTCCAATATGAACTTTGTGATAGCTGAATCCACATTAATGCTGTTTTGTTTTATTTTCTCTCTTCCTTTGTGCTAAAAGAGTCCAGCACCCTGTTTTAAAAGTGAACTAAAAGAGTCCAGTACTCTGTATTAAAAGACCTTGTCTTGCCCAAGGTCACATAGTAACCTAACCAGGATTAGAACCCAGGTCCTGTGACTCCAAATCTAGTGCCCTTTCATCTATACCATGCTGTTTTCCAAGTTCTTATTAAATGTTCTAATTTCAATATGACTTTATATGCATCAAGCTTTTGTTTGCACTAAGCACACAGAAAGGTTGGAAATGTTCATCTAAATGTATGGGAAGGATTATCTCTGTGCACATGATGAGAAATGATTGAAGTATATAGAGATGTTTAGCCTGAAGGAGGGAGAATCAGGAGGCACCTAAGAGCCAAGGGCTCAGAAGGGCTATTCTGTGAGAGAAATATTAGATTTATTTAGTGCAGTTCCAAAGAGCAAAACTAGGGCAAAGGAGGAAGTTACTAGGAGAAAATATTTGTTTTGATATAAGAGTTTTCTAGCATTTTGAGCTGCTCATAAGTCTGGAAGAACTGGAAAGAACATTAGAAGTTGTATAGTCTAGCACTTTCACTTTGCAGGTGAGGAAACTGAGGTACTGAGAAATTTAATGATTTACCCAAGGTTACATATGTGGCAAATAGCAGAAGGATAATTAGAACTAAAGGCCACTCTGATTCTAAACACTTCAGGTCTTTCCAATGTACCAGGACTTCGAGCAAAATTATAAGATCCTTCTACCACAGGAAGAATTTATGTAGAGGTGTGATGATCATTTTGTAGTGATTTTGTAGAAAGGGTTTTTTTCCTGGGGTGATGGGATGACTAAAATGACCACTAGGCCTTCCTTAAACTCCTAGAGTCTATGATTTATACTTATAAATGGAAAACTGGGCTCATACTTGCTTTT